GGGGGGGCCAGGGGGGGCCAGTGCCCCCCTGCCAACAAGCTTGGCCCCCCCTTTGGCCCCCCCTAAATTTGGAATCATATCACACCAAACAATTTTGGGTGAAATGCGCAGTTTGTCCTGTAAACTATGCATATAAAAAAAGAAAATGCCAGATGAACCCCTACTGATGACCCTGTTGCACCTTCTGCCCAATTAGAGTCGCTATTTCTCTGTTATGTTTCAGGGTGCATTCAAAATTACAATAAGGGCTGATATCAGTGCCCTACATAAACACCATGCAATGTTTGAACAATTTAGTTGTAATAGTTAAAAGTTGTAAGTTAGTCATAACACTGCATTTTTGACCTAGTTTGTTAAATATTTTGAGGGGAAGGATGTCACCAATCCTGAACAATGCCACTACGGATTTTCAGTGAGCACTCTGGCAAAAGCCAGGCCTGCATGGGTTAAGTAGAACACATTCATAAGAGGCCATATCAGTTCACAGAGGGTTATTTCAAACTGTTTACATTAAGTTTAATTGTTCTTTTTATGCTACTTTTATTCTGGGGAAAAAAAAGAATAAATATGAAAGCATTATTTATTTATTTTTCTATAGATATTGCAATATATCGGTATTGTTAATTTTTTTCTGGCCACGATAATCGTGTAGTGGAAATTTGGATATCGTGACAGCACTATACTATGTTAATTTTTTTGGAACTGCAATATATGGAAGATTGTTTCCACCACTTTCTCTCATAATTCTCTTTTTTTTCTCAGAATTGCTAGATATCAACTTGAAATTTTAAGAAAAAAAAATATTTTTTTCTCTCAGAAAAAACAAAACAAAAAATAGGGTCACAATTATCTTTTAAATTTTTTTCCCCTATGGTGAAAACAAGCTTCCACAGAATTTTCATTTTTGGGTGAACTATTTAAATAATTATACTTGGTGTTTTGCATAATATTATAGCTTTGATATAATAAAAGCATTATCTTTGTGTTTTTCCATTATCAGCAAGCACATTGATGGAAACCATAAGCTTGTGAGGTGGAGAATGGTGTTCCATGGCTGTGTCGATGGTTACAGCCGAACAATAATCTATCTTGAATGTCTTGACAACAATAGAGCTACCAGTGTTCTGTCTCTGTTTCGTGTTGGTGTGCAAACTTTTGGATTACCATCTAGAGTACGTTGTGACCATGGAATGGAGAATATTGAGGTTGCACGCTTCGCAAGTGTTTGCCATTGGAAACCTTCATATCACTGCTGACTTAGAATCTTCCTTATGCAAGAATTTGATTGTAGGCTGTGGTGAGAAGCCAACTGGTGGAGCACAACTTGCACCAGTTGCAAAAGCCAAAATCTTCTCCAATTTTGCTGGCCCTTCTTCATCTGTAAGGACAATAACAGGAAAAAATTACAAAGCTTGAAATCTGAGTTTAACATGTGCATTACCCACAATTACAGTGCTGCACAGTAACATACACTATATTGCCAATAGTATTGGGACACCCTCATTTTAATGAACAGGTTTGACTACTTTAGTAATTTCCATAAGTACAAATCTTAAAGGGGTCATATGATGCGATTTCTATTTTTCCTTTTCTTTAGTGTGTTATGTAGCTATTTGTGCATGTATAAGATCTGCAGAGTTACAAAGCTCAAAGTCTCCCACAAAAGGATTTATTCTATCTAAAAGAGAAGGCTGATCCAGACCCGGGCTAAAACGCCTCGTTCAAACACACCCCCACATCTCTACGCCAGGATGTGGAAATATTTGCGTAATGCCACCCAAATATTCATGCAAAGAAAGGCGGCGTGGTTTCAGGAACAGCAGTAGTGTTGATGCAGCATGGCAGGGAGACGCTGTGTGTTTCGAGAGTAAATTAAGCCACAATTTAAATTTTTCTGTTAACTAACCCATTAATAAATATTGTATTATAATCAATAAATAGAATTATAACCCACCTTCCATGTCCTGAATATAATCTCGCCAAAAGGGAACAACGACCTCTTCTTGCACCCTCTTATTGCTACCCTTTTGTGACAGGCGAATCTCAAAAAGCCCTTCAAGTACGTCTGCAGTTAGAGGAGCTGGCTCATGACATAAAATGGGGCGAAAGCACAAAATAACAATAATAACAACAGCAACAATAATAATAATAAGAAGAAGAACAAAAACAAAAAATATTAATAATAATAACCTTCTGAAATGATGGCAAAGCTCAAAATACCTTTTTGACCTTCTCATTTAAACAAGAATCTGAAATGTCATCCAGTGTGGGTTTTGCGGACTCCGGGCCATTGACCAAACAGGAGAACAGTACCTGTGATAGAAATCCTGGAGCAGGCCCCCCACGGACTAAACTTACAGCAATTGCTTGTCCCGCAATGTAATAGCGGTTCTTTCTTAATGCTGAAGAAAAAAAAAATTACATTTAGGACAAGAAAGAAAATTCACAGTTCAACAGCAAACCTGTTAAACTGTAAACCTAATCAGTAATCTTGATTAGGTTTACAGCACCTGCTGTAACACCTACTAACTCAATGGCAGTATATCATGTCAAGAAGAGTCAAGTAATGCATTTTTAGTAATTGACATGATTTTTTTTTTATCAATAGTAAAAAAGGAAAAAAAAACATACCACAACTATCAAGAGCAAGATTTTGTGATTGCTCATTGCCTTCGAACATTGAACTGTCTTTTAAGGCTTGCATGAGGAGCCTTAAAAACTCTCTGCGTGGTCCCCCTAAGTCCACTGCTTCCTCATGCCTCCCAGTGTCATCTGAGAATTTAACTGAGATTGCATTTCAGGGGTTATAGTTGATTCGGGTAAAACCTCGAATAGCTCCTTCAAGCACTGCTGAGCAGTTTATGTTAAACCTGCAGTGTGAATTGTAGTTTATGTTGGAGGCCAGGTCCAAAAGAATATTCTTAACAGGAACTTCCTCAAAGTTTCTATCAACACAATTTGAAAGAAAAAATAAAGTTAACAATAAATGTTCAACCACAACTCTGAAAAGCACTTGAGCAGGTATGGAACTCTGTGATGCTATGATTTGTAGACAGTGCTCAATGCAATTATACCATGGTCTGTCTGAATACTCCATTCCGACTGGCTGGAAGGTGTGCAATAAAACATTTTTTTTACACAGGTAGTTTCAAGTCAGTTCAGATCTAATGCTAGATCTGCTGGATGTAATGAGCCGTAACTGATAAAAAATAACCGTCAATTTTACCCTTCCGGTCAAATATTGCACTACAAACATCAATAAGTTTCAACTTGTCAATGTTGGCAAATGACCATGGTATAAGCGCGATAATCCATGACTAGATGTGCATTAACCAATTTTAATACAATTTGCAGAGGCAACCACCATCCGCTTCACATCAGGCAGTTCTTTAATGCACAGCTAGCTGTGGCTTATCCCTGATTAATATAACTCACAACAGCATAGTTAGTTGATACTTATGATGTACTTACCGATGTGTTTCAATGCTGGCAAGAATTGCCTGGTTAAGATCTTCATCATCTGATGAAAAGTCTGAGAAGGAGGTCATCACTGACAGATAGGCACTGTAATCATCATGGCTTGTTATCTCATAGTTCACTGTATTTGGAGCTGAAGATGTTGAAGCCTGTTCAAGAGAATGCCCTGGTGAAGTGGATGGTGTAGTTGCCCATGAACTGCAAGGCACTGTTGAGTATGAGAGTAATGTAGAAGGTTGTGTAGGAACAGGCTCAGCAATAGGTGGGGAACATAATTCAGTGGTCCTGTGGCAATGTTCTAGAGGTGTTATCTCAGTTACTGACTCAGAGTCTGTACTGTCATCTTTCCCGTTGTCACCACAAAAGGAGTCACGCTGCCAAACAACACACACACAATAGACTTGCACTAAGACAGCACATTATAATATAAAATAATTGATCAAATAGTCATTTAAGAGCAAGGCCGTAACCTTGTCTTGAACATGGGGGACCAACTCTCATATAGAAAATGGGAATCTACGTCAGAGCGTTGCATTCCACCATGTTTTGGAACATGCTCAGAAGCACAGTGTAAACAAACGCAAATTACCACAGAAAAAATGTAGTAAAAAAAAAAACTGTTCTGTGTCTGAGAAGCTGCAAATATTCATTACATAGCATTCAGTCTCCTTCACTAAAGTCGTACTGATATAACTGCTAAAACACTTAAGAAAATTAACCATGGTTGTATTATAGTAAATGTGTTGCAACCATGTTTTTGGTGTAATTATTATCATTCGTATAACAAGAGTGCTGCATAATTTGTAAAATATTGTTTAAAATATTAATAGCCTCAGACAACTCGTTTGGATTATCTGCCATTGCCAAACGATTTTGTGAGACACGTGCCGGCGCCAAATTAAACGGAAATGTGGACATGGCTTCCGTTTCAAGTGAAATTAGCTCTCATCGACTACTGAAATCTTCTCTCATTTCAGCTGTGTATGAATGAATTTCACTAAGGTTGTTGAATGTTTTCACTCATGTATGTAAGAGGTTTTTCAGTTATGTGTATGAATGAATTTCACTAAGGTTGATGAATGTTTTCACTCGTGTATGTGTTTGTAAGAGGTTTTTCGATAATTATGGCCTATACGGCCCCTCACAGAGGAGCACCATATTTTGACAGGAAAGAAAACGAGGGATAAAAGGATGAAGGATAGAAGTACAGTGTGTTCAAGGGTTATACTGTTGTTAACAACTGCTCAGCTGAAGAAAAACAATCAGTGGACAAAAACTCAATAAAACAATTTTGAAAGTTGTGAGTTGTAAAAATTACATGATGTAGGACCTTTATACAGTGTGTGCCACTGTAAATCCTGCAAGTCTATTACTCACAGCCATGTTTTCATCTGTGTCAAATTCAATATGGCTTCTAATCTGAGTAAGGTCAATATGTGAATGCACAGCGGATGAGTCTGAAACACGATTGTGTGTAGTCTAGGCCTGTATAAAATGTGAATGTGTGTGTTTTAACTGGTTTTGAAAATTGGCACTTAATTGAACATTAGAAGAGAGTCAAAAAAAGAAAGATGTGAGATTGTACGGAAAGGCCTTATATGGATATGGTTTACACATTTTTTATGCAAATTACTTCTTCCGATCAAGCTCTCTTTTATAACAATTCTGATTTGTACTCTCACGTGTTGCAGGACATTTTTAGCTCACATAAATACCCAAAATGTATGAGATTATTATTAACTGAGGTCTATTATTACAGTATTTAAACGGTAGGAGATAAATGTCGACCACTGACATTTCTGTATATTAAAATATTACTTTATTGCCTTAAGTGTGCGTGGCCTATTACACACAGAAAACAAGGTACAAAAGCTGTCACTGGGCGGTACCTTTTCAGAAGTTACCCATTTGTACCTAAAAAGTCCATATTCGTCTCTTAAAGGCATATTAGTACCTAAATTGTACATATTAGTATCTAAAAGGTACAAAAGTGCGCCACAGTGACAGCTTTTTTCACAGCTTTTTAAATTAAGCAATGCAGCATGAGAGGCCATGTCATATTATTAATACAGGCTGTGTCTGAAACCGAACAGCCCAGTGAGAAAAGCATTTTTACATTAAAGGTACATAAGCAGGGTGGCACTGTGAGGTATGATCTTGTGATTGGTATACATACCCATCAGCAGATCTGGTCTCCTCGGATCCCCCACCTGCTAAAGGGTTGTTCAGAATACAAAACCAAGCGTGGGATAACGGGGGCTGTCTCCATAGCAACAAACGGTGGACTCTACGACAATGAGAGATGGAGTGTGTACGTGTGAGAGAAAAAGAGGCACAGAGAAAGAGGAAATCTATGGTAACTAACTCCTTGCAACCAACTAAAAATAGATCCATCGTATGGCTCCTACATGTCTCCTACATTCCAGTGCTCCCTTTACAGTAATTGCATAGCCTTTTATAAAACACCTCATTTGAACATGCTTAATATCTTTTGAAGATAGTAAAGAACAAAAGATTTGCGTGGGTAGTGCATAGTAAAAGCCTCTTCGGTTTTGGTGGAGTGGCACACATGGAGATTTAAGCACAAAACAAAGGCCTACTCTATGCAAGTACGTGATTGCAGATGCTTTTAGCAACACAAACTCAATTTTGTCTGCTCTTGTGTTCAGAAATGTATCACTGTCATAATGCAATGCAAGTAAATGTTGCATTCTCAAGGCTGCCTCAAGTGGTGATATAGTGGACTTTAGCATAAACTGTCTTCTGCAGTCTGTTTTTCCAACTTGATCTTGTGAGAAAAAGTGATTGTGATGAATTCTTTTGATATGATTCACTATGAAAATGTAAACTTTTTTTAAGGTAAAAATAAGCTTGAAGATCCACCCCTAAATATAATTAGCAGTGGGGTTGAACAAAATGTATGAATGAGAACGTACAAATTCATACAAATTAGCCACCAATTCACCAACATGTAAAATAGTTATGAATTGCCATAACAGTGTGTTGGTTTAATTCATGACAAAGAAAACCTAAAGAGAATCTTACTGAGCAAGTTATGTTTATAGCTTAATAATATCACATCTGGTTTAATGGCACAAACATTTGAAGGAAACTCTGTTGCCCCATAGAAGTTTGTTATTGCCAGAACAACACATGGTTTCCAGTGCTAAGTTTGTTTGTGCAAAAAACATTGCATTAAAGCATCCCTGATTATGTCATGCCTAATGAAGCCTAGTCCACTGCAACTTCGAAGTAGCTATTATGGTAGAAGCTGGCTGCCAGGTTTTACTAATTTGTCCCTTGGGGAGGGTAATTTCATGCCTCATTCATAACGCTACATTTATCTAATTGCATACCGTTATCGGTATCTCTAACTGAGTAGATAAGAGCTATTACATTTCCTGTTCACATGGGATGTGCAAACAATGACAAAGCAGCACAGTGTTTTTTTTTTTCTAAGCTTTGTATAATTTGATCTCATCCAGGGTGACATGGTTTAACTGATTTGTATGTCCCTGTTAGCTCCTGCTGGGTGCTGTAACTACACTGTTTGAGTGCAAAAACGTTTTCCATCAATGGTAGTTCAAAAGTTATGTATTGTTATATACGTATATATATATATTTTTATTAATTAATTTATTTTATTTATTTTTTTTGCAAGGAAAATACACAGCTATTCAAAAGTTATGGGTTTGTAAGTTTTTTTTTAGGTTCTTGAAAGTGTCTTATGCTTACCAAAGCTGCATTTATTTGATCAAAATACAGTAAAAACAGTAATATTGTGAAATATTATTGCAATTTATATATTGGAGGGCTCTTTAAAACACAAATGACTTATATTTTTCTTTTTCTGCTGTGCTTCATGTCACAGCTCAGAACAGTCAGTAGAAAGGAGAGAAAGAAAGAGAGTGTGATTTGTGTAGGAGCAGTTGTTTTACAACCTTAATGTAATTCCTGTCCCGACGAGCAGTAGCCCACCTGTTGTGTGGCTCAATGATATGTTGTGGGAGTCTGGCTCCATCCTTTCTCACACAACTCTGTGAGGGTTGCAGGGACCAGCTTAGCAGCATTACTGACATTTACAGATGGACTGTGTTGTTTGCATCATTTTGTTTCCTAACAACCACACATCTTTTATACTTTATTACCCACTCACATTATAGGACTATGTAGTCCAGCTGAAAACAGAAAATACTTTTCCTTCTTTCTTCTAAAATTGTTATTAGTTTAACATTAGTGAAACAGACATATACCACAGGTTTGGTGTCAGTTTTTTTTCTCACTTTAATACTTAATAAATAGAATTACTACTTTTATTTAGCAAGGACACATTAAATTGCTCAAAAGTAACAGTGAATACTTTTTTAATGTTACAAAAATGTAATAAATAAATTAATTTTATTTTAAATAAATGCTGTATGAACTTTCTATTCAACAAAGAATCATGAAAAATGTTTTAAAAAAATAATAAGCAGCAAAACTGCTTTCAAAATTGATAATAAAGCACCAAATCAGCATATTTTGAAGACTGGAGTAATGATGCTGAAAGTTCAGCTTTGCCATCACGAGAATAAAATACATTTAAAAATATATTAAAATAGAAAATAGTTATTTAGAAATGTAATATTTTCTCACAACATTAATGTAAGAAACTAAAAAAACATATTACTGACCCAAAATGCTGGAATGGTGTAGAGTAAATTAAGATATAATTTGAATTAAAATAATTACTGACACCAAAATCATATATTTTCTTTTATTTTAGATTTGCGTGACCACATAAATAATAGTTTTAAAGCAGTTATTTTTACATTCCCTGATTATTCCTAATATTAGGAAGAGAGTGAGAGAGGTGTTTTATCTATTACTGCAGTGCATTACCTTTTTTCTTCACAGAGGACTGTAATTATTGCCGTGGCTATATTGACCCATTTACTTGAATAGCACTTTCACACATCAAAGAGATTATCAAGCCAAACATTAACCTGCACTTCAGTTTGATGACCTCAGGCAATAGTATACACCGCAAAATCACATTTCTGTTTCCATAGAGATATGTGTCTCCAAACTGCATTATTTGTTTGCCACATAAAATGTAACATGCATTAGCTAGAAAAAAGCACTATTATTTCATGATTACTCTGCTGGCATGTAGCTGTACTCATCATAGATTAATTGCATCAATGGGTGAGGGTCAGAACAAAGGATCACCATCTTATTTGTCATCAGTGTTAATTTGAAGTTATGTGACTTTTAGTCACTAGAATTCACTAGAATTCTCTTGTCAGAATGCTGTGACACCTGCCCACACACATGAATTATGCACACACATCTCACCCTTCCCTTGTTAGCTACAGAATGATTGTGTCTACATGTGTGAAAGTGTGTGTGATTTAAGAGCTGGTCAGACATAGTGATTTTTAAAGGACATTTACATATCATGTGACAATTCTTCTGTTTTTATTTGCTTCATTTTAGTTATTGATCTC